CATCTGGAATAGTAAGAGACCCTGCATTGCCAAAAAAATTCTACAAAAGAAGAATGGAGTGGGCGACATCTTGCTCCCTGACCCAAAAATATACTACAAAGCTGTGGTAATCAAAACAGCATGGTATTGGCACAGGAACAGACATGTGAACCAATGGAACAGAATTGAGTCCACAGGAATAAATTCCCAATCATTCAGCCAACTGATTTTTGACAAGGGGTACCAGTCAATCCAGTGGGAAAAGGAAATCCTCTTCAACAAATGCTGCAGGAAAAACTGGATTTCCACCTGTAGAAAGATGAATGGGAAAGATTTCTTACATAAGACCCCTAAAGCACAGTCGATAATCCCCAAAATAGACAAGTGGGATTACATCAGACTAAGAAGTTTCTGCATTGCATAAGACACAGTAATTAGCGTGAATCAACAGCCCTCAGAGTGGGAAATTATTTTTGTAAATCATGCATCAGATAAGGGATGGATAACCAGAATACACAAGAAGCTAAAGAAGCTGGAAAAAAGGTGATTAACCCTGTTAAAAGATGGGAGAAGGATTTGAAAAAAACACTCTCTAAAGATAACATACGAGTAGCCAAAAGGCATTTGAAAAAATGCTCAACATCCCTCATCATAAGAGAAATGCAGATCAAAACAAAGAGATACCACCTAACTCCAGTCAGAATGTCTAAGATTAAAAAAAAAAAAAAAAAAAAAAAAAAAAAAAAAAAAAGTGTGGGGGGGGGGGGGTGGAAGGGGGGATCTCTCTTACACTGCTGGTGGGAATGAAAATTAGTCCAGCCACTGTGGAGAACAATTTGGAGATTCCTCAAAAATCTACAAATAGAACTACCATGTGATCCAGCAATCCCGTTACTTGGCATCTACCCAAAGGACAGAATTCTTCTTCATTGGAAAAGTGCTTGCACATCGATGTTTATTGCAGCACTTTTCACGACTGCTAAGAAATGGAACCAACCCAAATGCCCCCGTATGGCTGAATAGATTGAAAAACTGTGGCACATATGTTCTATGAAATACTATTCAGCCAAAAAAAAGAAAAAAAAAAGAACTGACTTGGGAACCAGCAGTTGGCGTAATGGCTATATCGCTGGACTCCCACATAGTCAACCACAGTTCGCGTCCCGGACCCAGTGGCTTAAAACTCATGCCGGGCGCGTGTGTGTGCGCGCCCAAGATCCCAAGAGGAGAATGGAGGAGAAGGGATTGTGGTGTGACCATCCCCTCTGGGGGGGTGATTTCTCACTTTCTGTCTCTATGTCTCTCTCTGTCTGGCGAGCGCACACGTCCTATAGCGAAAAACCTCTCAAAAAAAAAAAAAAAAGAAACTGGCTTTTGACAGAAAGTGGAAGAATATGGAAGATTTACTGCTGAGTGAAGCAAGCCAGGCTATGAAGGAGAGACACTGTATGTTCCCACTTAATATACACTGAGTGTCTGCACTCTATAACTGAAACTGACGGGTTAAAGGTTGTACAAACACAAGAGATGGGTGTGAATGCCAGATGTGGTGTGTGTGGAGGAGTGGGGCCTGGGGAAAAACATTTGGAGGAGGGATATGGTGACAGCATTGTTGAGATACGGGAGGTAGTATTGTGATATTTTGATCAACTGGACCGGGGAGAAATGTTCACATATTGAAATGATCACCTTGTAAGCTAAATAATGTGATTGAATGTATTAAAAAATGCAAATAAAATAAAAATTAAAAATTAAAAAGTTACTTTGTGTCCATCATAGTACTGTGCAATAAGACTCCAACGTAATGGATTTTTGTCCTGTTACTAAAGAAATACAGTCTACTGGATTACACAGAAATATGCTAAATCAACTACTACCATGTAATATGAAGTAGATTAAAGTAGATTAATAAGGCACTTAAAAGCTCAGAAGAAAGAGTAATTTATTTCTCTAAATGAGTCCAGAAGACAATGTAGAAAAAGTGGAATAATAGATGGAAAGAATAACAAGGGAAAACCATACCAGGAAGCTGGATCATCACAGACCAAAGAATTAAAGCGCCTGTTCATTTATGGAGTATAATAAATTCTCTGCTGCTTGTCTGTCCTGTTTAATGTCAGCTACACACTTTCACTTTTTCATATCCCAGATTTAAGCCATCAGCAAATCTAGTTGTCTCTAGAATCCCTCCACTGTTCCTCATCTGCTAAACTCAAACCTAAGCCATTTCATGTCCATTCTGGACTTTCGAAAGGTTGTTCTAGTTGGGAAAGGAAGTCTGTTTATTTCTGCTCATTTACCCATAGTTCAGCTTTAACACAGTAGTCAGTGTGATCATTTTAAAATATATATTTGAGGGCACTCATTTCACTTCTATTAATCTATACAAAAATTCTGCATAGCTTCACAATTCACTAATAGAAATTCATCAGGCCCCTATGGAATTGGATTCTCATATTCCTATCTAACCTCCTCTTTCATCCACTGTTGCCAAACCAACTCACTAGCAGTTCTAAAACATGAACCCAATTCAGTTTCTTTGTTGTTCTCTCTGTTCACGCAGCTCTCTTTTCACGCCGAATGGATCTCCCTAAACACAGTATTTAAGATAGTATCTAACAATACCCCCCTCAAAACATAAATAATTTGCCAGCACTTTCCCTATTTCACTCCTGTATATAGCATTTATCACAATATAATGACTATACATTGCACTCATTTATTTGTTTAGTCAGCATCTTTGCTAAAACAGAAGCAGTCCAAGGGCAAGAATTATTTTCTTTTATGTTCACATTCTAACTTCACACCCAAATCATACTAAGCATATGGTAAAGACTGATAACTATCTGTTAAATAAATGTGTGAGTCAATGTTTAATAAGTAATTGAGTGTATGCTAGTTACTAGCAATATAATTCAAACATGATCCTAGTTCTCTGGGTTTTTACATTCGATACCAAGAGTAAAAAAGAGAATTCATATTCCAGTCATGATCTGATGGTCCAAACAACTAACTGGACCAACTCCATAGCTTCTAAGCAGGTGAGGACTTGAAAGTGAGATCAGGAGTCAAGTTCAGAATCTCCAATTCCCATAAGCCACCTAGCTGAAAGTTTTTATTAAGCATTTGCACTTACAGATTTGGCTCTCACATAACATACATACATGGTGATTTATTACAGATTGTAACTGAAGCAATCAGAGTAGATAGAAAATCTAGGGCAATAATATAAAGAAAAGAGAGAGAAAGAAAAAAAAAAACCACAACACCAAAAAGTTCTAAAGAACCCTCACATCACTCTTTTTTTCTCTTTTTCAAAATTTGAAATGTGATATTTTTATTTTGAGAAAAAGAGTAGTATACGTTTATTTGTTTGTTTAAGGTAAAAGCTGGATCCCAAAAGTTTACATCATTCTACATGTTTTTTAGAAGGTATGAATATCAGTAACTGTTTTTTACTAGTCTGAAGTACTTGAGGACTTATTTAGTTTGTATGACCCAAGGGTGCTTCATATTTGTAATATAATTTTAAACTACTTCAAAATCTAGTTTTTTTATATGGAAAGATGTAAGTAGCTTACTTTTACTGGTTAAAAATACACACACACACACACACACACACACACACCACAAAGTTTGAATAAAGAGAACTTGCCCTGTACCTTAAAATTTTTCAAGTCACAAAACCAGTAATAATTTAATACAATACCCAGCAGTTTTAAGGTCACATAAAATGTTGGTTAACTCCTACTTAGCATCGTATTTAGAATGTATTGATAATATCCCAACTTTGATATAGGGGGAAAAATGTTCAAATATAACTTACACATATTATTTGTTATAGGCTGTGATTTAGTAGTAGTTTAAAAAGACAAGAAAACAAGACACCTTCCAAACAAAATTTCCTAGGAAACATTTTAAGCATATTATTTACATGTAAGGCACTTACATTAATTTTGAAATAAAAATCTCGTGAATAGTTTTGTTTTTTAAATCAAGTCTTCATAAGCTATACAGTAATAATGTTATTTCAAGTAAAACTTTAATAGACATTCAATTTCTATTCTTTATCTCTGACTAGAATAAAGGGTGGGCATCAAGTTCCATGTAAACTAAACTTAATGCAGGTAACTGTTGGTCTGTTTAGATTTAGAGAATAGGTAAAGTTTCCTCATTTTTATGGCCAGTACTTTAGCTTCTGACATGTAGAAAACTCTCCATGTAATGAAGTTATTGCGTTAGTAACAATAATATTAATAAATTACAGTCAAGGTAATTAATACAATTATGTTTAAAAAATTAAATGTGTATATATAGAAGTATCATGTTAGCTGAGATTGATTACTCCACTATAAACTTTGTCCTGAATTCTTGTACTTTAGATAAATAAAATGATAGAGGTGTTTTAAATTTTCAAAATACACAAAAATTTCTTAGTTTTTGGGAGAGATGAGCTGTTGGGATTAGAAGAGAAGTAATGTCAAAATATAATTTTATAAAACTTACTTTACTACTTTATCTCTGAGGTATGAGTGTCAACCCAATGTCCCATTAACTAGTTTCTTTTCTTCTGTCTTTTCTTCTATTATTTTTTACATTCAATTGCTATATATCTTTACAACATACAAAATAGATTTTCTTAGCATGAATATGGTGTATATTAGTCCAGTCAAAGATATTGCCATATACATTATCATCAGCAGATAATTTTCTGTTTCTGTGTCTGTTAAGTGTTTTGTACCTTTTCACCTTGATTCCCTCTCATATACACCCTGTTGTCCACCATCCTCCCATACTGTTTCTAGTATCCTCAATTGTTCTCTCTGCTTTTCTTCTTATTCTCTCTGCTAATCTTTCATAGTCTGGTTTGCTTTGCTCAGCATTAAATGTTCAGTATTTGTCCACTTTTGATCAAATGCCATGGTCTCATTGTTTTTATGGCTGAGTGGTATTCCACAGTGCAAATGTATCATGGATTAACGTCATCCTATATGATAAATACAAAGATCCAGTTGCCCATTTTACCACCCTTTCTTCAGTAATCTCTGGATCCCTTGCTTGATCTCTTGGGTTCTTACCCCATATACAATAGGATTAAGAGCTGCGGGAATAACATGGTGGAGGACATTGAGCAAAACTGGCACATCAGGGGAGACCTTCTTCTTAGCCACATGTGTGATGACAAAGACCAGAAGGATGGTGCTGAAGAAGAGGATAAGGATGAAGTGGGAGCCACATGTGCTTAAGGCCTTGGCCACGGCACCCTCTGCCTTGAGTCTCAGCACAGCTCGGAGTATGAGGGTGTAAGAGAAGAAGATGAGGATGAGGTCAGATCCTAGTAGGGTCCAGCCTCCAGCAAATTGGAGGAGGCGATTGATGGTAACATCATCACAGGAGAGCTTGGACACAGACATATTGGCACAGATACAATTCTCAATGACATTTCTACCACAATAATGGAGTCTAGCAGAGAGGAGGGGAACAAATACAGTAGGAAGTGCATTTCTGGCCAAAATAAAGATGACTGCCTTGACTACAAATTGGTCAGTGATAATGGATGGGTATCTGAGTGGATGGCAGATGGCCACATAACGATCATAGGCCATAACCATGAATGTGCAGGACTCCATTGCAAGGAAGCAATTCATAATGTACATCTGAAGGAAGCAGGCATAGAAGTTGATAGACCTCAGGTCAAACCAGAAGATAACCAAGACCTTAGGGATGACAGTGAGACAGAGCACTATGTCCAGCAGGGAGAGGAGGCTGAGCAGGTAGTACATGGGTTGGTGCAGAGAGGCCTCCATGAAGATGGTCATCAGGAGAATAGCATTGGCCCCCATGGCCAGGAGGAAGAGGAGGCTGAGGGGTAGGGACAGCCAGAGTTGCCAACTGGGAGACCGGACAAAACAATTCAGGAGGAAGTCTGTAACCTCAGTAGAGCCATTCATGTAAGATGCCATCTTGGCAATTTTGTATCTATACCTTTCCTTTGGTGATCTAAAAAGTTAAGATACAAATTAGCTTTTGACTTAATATATACAAAGTTTCCATTGTAAGAAACTTTTTTTTCACAGCAGGTTGCTTTGTTATAACTAGAGATTTTACTTGTTACATTGACAAAATCAATCCATTTTAACCTCTAAACTTCTGTTTCTCTTCGTGCCTGTGGTATGTATAATTTCTGATAGAATAATTATATAAAGTAAAATGTGCAGTTTTAATTAGCTATGAGAAAGTGCCCTTGCCATTTAAGAATGCTGTAAAAATAGGCCCTCTGATTTCAACAGGATTGATCTTTAATGAATCACTTTGCCCAGTTACAGATAATGACCCCAATTCTCACAATAGATAGTATTCTGTATTGTCACTCTTTTCTCCTTATTTGCCTTTTACTCACTCTTTGTATTTTAGGGATGCAAACATTAAATACTGTTCTTGCTGTCAAGGAAGGGACATTTTTTTTTAAGAGAGATTTTTTGCTATAAGGTGTTGTGCTCACCAGAGAGATAGAGAAAGACAGAGAGATAGAAAGCAAGAAATCACCACCCAAGAAGGATCGTGGGCCTGGTGTGAGTTTTAAGCTACAGGGTTTGGGACTCCAACCACAGTTGACTACGTGGGAGTCCATTGATGTAACCATTATAGCATCTGCTGGCCCCAGAAGGGGCAATTCTTTCTACCAGTGATGGATAATTATTAGATAAAATGATACAAGCAATGACAGAGTCTTGTAGAAAACATTTTGAGAGAAACTGAGGATACCTTCACTCAGTGAACCCACGACTTCTTTCCCGCTGAATTCTAAAAGCAAATCCAAAGAATATCCTAAAAATAAACTGCCTTTTGCAATGAGAGGTACCTGTGAAATGTTTGGGGACAGCCTTCCTGGAGTTTTTACATCAGGCTGTATATGGTCCTTAGATCTGGCTACCTTTTACATATGATCTGCTGAGGTATCATTAATAAGTGTAAATTACTCTATATTTTTAAATCTCAGTTTGGACCTTTAGCAAAGCAGTAAAATATAAAACACAGTTTCTGTGTACTTAATGAACTTTCAGTATTTACCATGCACTGTGCTAAAATATGTTAAAAGTATTATCTCAATTATTAAAACAACCCTGAAGATACATCTTAGTTTCATGACTTTTTTTCTTTTATTATTATTATATAAACATTCAATTGTTATACATCATTTAGATCTTCATTTCATGACTTTTTTTTCTTTGTATTATTATTACTATTACTATTTATGCATTAAATTGCTATACATTATTTAGATTGTAGAGAGACTTTACCCAGCATGATACACACTGCAGTCCAGTTGAGATTACTATACACATCCTCATCAACAGATAATAAACCATTTCTGTGTCCCACCAAGATCTCATGACTTTATCAATTAAGGCAATAAGGTAAATAAGGAAATTCCAATACCACATATGATAACCTTCAATCTAAGCAGTTCAATTTGATTTCAAATCCAATTCTTAGTTACTTATGCTATACTATGTCTATTTGCCAAATGAACACTGATTTGATAGTCTCTGGAGTACTCCAAACACTGTCATATTTTGATACTGTATTTAATGCCTCATCTTTTTTAAAAAGAATAAACCTATTCCCTTTGAGTAATGAAAAATTTTGGAAGTTAAAAGCAGTTATAAAGAGGTATTTTTGGAAGGATGGCTAAAAGATAGGAAATAATTTTTAATTCAAATATGAACCCAGAACTGAAAATATTTTTCAATAAGATTTTAATTTGATACACCTATTAAATGGCACATTCATTTTCTTCTCCATGTGACCTGACCCCCCCAGACTTCCACTCCTGTTCACTTTATTTTTTCTTAGACCTCAACTTTATTAAATAGCCCATGGAATGACTGTGTAAGTGTGAGATAATGGAAATTACCCTCCTCCCTTCCTCAATTCTTTCTTCATTCTGTTTTAAAATCAAGTGGAGTCTAATTTATTAGTATCTGTCAGGCACTGCCTCTTTCTCTCTGGAAGCAAAAGATATAGATATGTGTATATCTGTATTTCTGCTGACAAACTTTTCTCCTTGATGCCTCTACTACCATCACCCATCCACACAGTCTCAATATCTTTTGCTTGACAAATCTAGGGCTTAATTTGGAGGAATAGGTTTTAGTAGTTGGGAGTGCTGAAGGTGGTGGATGTCTTACTGTAGTAATCCTTGATCATAGCTTCCAGGTCTGATGTGGTGACCAAAACAACTTCTCAATGTACTTAGTACTGCATGTAACATTTGGATGGCCCTGTCTCTCTTGATTTTTCCATTTACCACATACACATTCAAGAGTTTGGTCAGGCATTGCTAGAAACTTACTGATTCTCTACTATAAACTGTCCCTGTTACCATTGGTCGGACCCATCCACAGCAAATGTGAATTTCAGGTTGTCAGATTCTGACACTACTTCCCTACATCACATTTTGTCATTTGGACTTTATCAGCTCTTACTTTGTTCATCCTTTATGTATCATTACATCACTTCATTCTTAAAATGAACAGCACCAAAGCTCACCATAGCCAAGTTGGCTTAAGAATCCTTGACTGATTTCTGACAGGTCCAGCCACCTGGACATACCTCTGTTGCAAGAAAGAGGATCCATAAGGAAACCTAAAAGAAGAGGAATATTTATTTACTTCACTTTATTTATTGGGTGACCTTGAAAAGTTTATTTCCAAAAAATTGATAGAATTTCTGGAGCACACCAAGAAAAATTCTCCATCGTATTTTCAGTGTTTATTTTTTTTATGTTGTTGTTCTTGATTTCCCCACTCCATTTTGTCTCTTTTCTCTTACTCAATAATTTATTCAGTATGTATTGGATATCTAGTCAACTCTAGGGTATAAACACTTTGATACGCAAATTTCTCTTTCTCTTTCAATATTCCTCTATGGTAAGAGCCAGAATTTGGCATGAAAAAAAACTGAGACTGTAAGGCTGTCTTGCCTCAGTTCCTGGACTGAAGATAGGGTTTCCCTCTTCACCTGGCTGATCTTAGAATTTTTCTCCTTCATCCCCTTCCCAGGTTCCCTCTCTATACTCACTTTCAGGGAATTCCTCTATAGTAAGAGCCAGAATTTGGCATGAAAGAAAACTGAGACTGTGTGTAAGGCTGTCTTGCCTCAGTTCCTGGACTGAAGATAGGGTTTCCCTCTTCACCTGGCTGATCTTAGAATTTTTCTCCTTCATCCCCTTCCCAGGTTCCCTCTCTATACTCACTTTCAGGGAAGGCAGTGGATGGGTCTGGCTCTACCCGTCTTGGAGTTGTGACCAGTTGGTGTCTGTCTGCTATATTGAAGTCCATAACACCTCAGTGGCCTCAAGCACTTGCCCCATGGGAATGTGACCATTTCTATTCCCTTTGGTAGGAGGTACAATTAAGGAATAGTATTACTGCTAGAACTTCCCAGAACATACAGGCATATATTAGGGAAGAGAATGTGCTTTAATTTGAGAAAAACAGCTTTTGGAGGTCTCAACATATGCATGCTACATTGCCTATGTGAGATGTGGGCAATATATCGTTTATTTGAATATCCAGGTCTTTTACAAGTACATTCATATATTCTCACACATAGGAGCAGTTATATAGTTGGTTCACTAAGCATGAAATAAGTTCACTCACAAATTAACCTAAGCCCAATATAGGTTGATTTTTAAAAAAATAGAGAAAATACATAATCCCAGCATAAAGAATAAATGATGAACATCTTTACAGACAATACAGACTTTGAAATGATCAAAAAAGTATGTTATGAACTTCATGCCATTTAATTTGACAACTGAACAAAATGGGTAAATTCTTGAATGGCACAATTTACAAAAATCATTACCAGAAGTGATTAAAAATCCAAATAGATTTATATCTGTTAAAGAAATTTATTTTGGAACCTTTCTACAATTAAAACTCTAATCATGCATGGATTTTATGGTGAATGCAATAAGCATTTAAGGAAGAAATGGTACCAATAATTTGAAAATTCAGAGAAATAGAAGAACAATTCAGAAATTACTTTATGGGGCCAGTTGTATCCTTACCTGAAAAGGAGGGAAAATATATTATTAGAACACTTCAACCAATCTTGTTCATAAATATACACACAAAATATTAGGAAATCAAGCAATGTATTTAAAGAATAAGATAATATGACTAGGTTAAGCTTATCCAAGAAGTGTAAGATTGGTTCAATATTCAAAAATAATCAGCATTATAATTAACTGAAACAAAACAATTAACTAAACTAAAACAATTTCATGAAACAGATTAAAGCTAAAATTTACTCTGACTAATATTACTAGTTAACAAAAAAACAGTTGTAATAAAAATGGTGTAGAACTGATGCTAAAAGTTTAAAAACATCAATTTGAATGATGATGAAGTCAACAATAGTTGTTTGTATAGGAAGAATATGAAAACAATGACCTATTATTATTAGAGGAAACAACAAAGAAATGAGGCCAAATTAAAGAATGTGTTTTACTCTGACTAATATTACTAGTTAACAAAAAAACAGTTGTAATAAAAATGGTGTAGAACTGATGCTAAAAGTTTAAAAACATCAATTTGAATGATGATGAAGTCAACAATAGTTGTTTGTATAGGAAGAATATGAAAACAATGACCTATTATTATTAGAGGAAACAACAAAGAAATGAGGCCAAATTAAAGAATGTGTTTACATATATAACTTATTTTATTCTTTTAATTTATTTTATGCATTCAATCACTATACATCACTACAACTTATAAAGTGAATTTACTCAACATGTATACACTTCACATCAGTCCAATTGAAGATAACATGCATGTTATCATCAACAGATAATAATCCATTTCTGGGTCCCATAAATGTCATGCCTCTATATTTTTCTCCTTGACTCTCTTCCTCTCACATTTGCCCTTCTTTCACCTTCTTCCCACAC